CGGGGCGGGGCGGGCGTGGTATTGCGCAGCGATACACCTCGGCGAGCTGGGGATCAGGAGCAACAGCCTCGCGGGTCATACCAGACAGAGGTGGAGAGTGAGCAAGCGAGGGAGGTAGAGTCGACGCTCGGCGTAAATCCGGATGAGGTAGGTAATCCAGGGGGTAATGCAGAGGGTAATCGAGAAGGTAAATCCAAAGGCATTCGATTACAAGGGGTGATCCGAGGGCCCGGGGGCCGGGACGCATTGTTACAATCGGTTACAATACGTGAGGGCATTATTTCAATACGTGGTAATCCGTTGCACGCCACCAATTTCGGCAGTCGATTGCCATTTAGAGGCAGAGAGAAATATGGAGATAGGAGATGAAATCGGATAAAGTAGGATTAGAGAGAGAGTGCGACAGACAGTAAGAGAGCGAGGGAGGGGTAGGGAAAGGGGAGGAAGGGAGAGGGTGACAGAGACTGGGAGATTGAGAAGGGGACAGCGAGAGAGAGAGTATGTGTCCTCGTCGTTCAACCGGTCGGGACAGTAGTGACATTCCTACACGGACGGCACGACACACGGACAGCCAGGAGTGCGGGAAAGGGAGAGAAGGGGCTGCGGGACTGCTAATGCACCGCCGGGCTGGCCGCCACAACAACCACCACTTTACCTCTGCGACAAAGGCAACTCCCATCACTTAGGCCCCTCTGACCCCTGCCCCCGCCGCTGACTCCAAGAGAGGGGCAAGAGCACGGCGAGGACCACTCTGGTTCCGCACACGCGCACGACGACACGAGGCAGAGGGGATTCAGAGGCGTGCCGTCGGCAAGCCCCCTGCCGCGGCTGAGCGCGGTGGCGACATCTAGCGGCCGCGCGCGCAAGCTGGCCGCCGCCACCCCCTCCGGCAGGGGGTAGGTCCGCTGGCTGCGGCCCGTTGGGGGTGGCAGGTGGCAGGGCAGGTGGCGGGGTGCGGGGTGGCACGCCTCTTAGCGATAGTTCGAGAGGTCGAGGAGCAAGAGAGGCGTGACATTTGAGCGCGGCAATGCAGGCGGCGGCATGGGGCCGGGAGGGGGGGGGGGGGCTTCACATTCGACGGCACACTCAAGCAGGGCCGGGGAGGGTCGGGCGCGCACACAACTTTGGTGCAACCCCCGCTGGCGCGCCGCTGCGACGCAGGGGGTAGCGCGGCGCCGGGGGGTGTTGGGCTGTTCGCTGTTCAAGTTCACAAACTAGACCAAAGCCGAGGTCGTCAAAGCCGCCCGCCCTGGAGCTCGCGAGGCGCTTGACGCAACGTGAGGCGGCGGCCCGGCGCGCGGGAACCAGGTCAGCACCGGGGCTCTAGGCAGAGCGCGAGCACGTGCCACGTGCCAGGCCGGGTGAGAGAGAGGGGTGGAGGGGGGGGGGGTGTCATGTTCGACAGGAAGACACCCGTCAAGCGCGTTGGGGCGGCGGG